GTCTCTGGGTAATGCTAAGTGTAGAAGATAATTTAGAAATCCCCGTATACAGATACGATTTTCGCATGAATACACGTACAAGTTCCTTTTGACTTTGAAATGACCTCAAAACATGACATTTGATCTTATCGATCATACCATATTTTATTCTAAAATTTCCCGCTCTTTCCAAATCCGGGGTCGAAAATAGGCAATTCCATTTAAAAAATGTTATTTGACCTTCAAATAACCCCTAAGGTCAAAGTCAAGGTCAAATTCAAGGATATGGTCATACGTCCCCCTCCTTGTCCAACAACTTTTGTATGAAACTTTTTTCATTATTTCGCTCACCGGTCGAGTTATTCTCCATTAAAGGTTAAAATGGTCCACCCTGTATATAAACATAAAAATAAAATAATCAATTGCTTTTTTTTACAATAAGCGCGTACAAAATTCCAAAACATTAAAAGTGTAATAAAACGCAAAAAAGGCAAAATAATATCTTGCAAAAACAATATAGCGATATTAGAGAAAATGGTAAAAAGAATATACCTAAGAAAAAGAATTATCATATGAAGACTGAAAACATAGATATTGATGTAAGATATAAACATATTATTTATTTAACGCTGAACTTTTATATATTTATATATATATATATATATCATATAGTCATTAAAATTTGTCTTAATATATCTCTACTCTACGTTGAATCGTCTTTGGAACAATTGTCGGCATAGTTCATCTCTGAGATCACAACCACGTCGTTCATCAACAAAATTTTCATCCCTATCTTCTGGCAGGACATGGGGTAACAACACCTGTGCATTTACATCAGCATGATTGTCGTTCTCGGGTTCTTCCATGTATTGCATATCATTAAAGTCAGCCATATTATGAAGGACGCAACAAGTGAAAATGAATTTAACAATGAACTGCATGTTCCTCAGCTTAAGGAAATATAATTGGCTGAAACGTTGTTTCAATATTCCAAATGTATGTTCTACAGAGATTCTGCACTGACTATGTATACGATTAAAGTTTCTTTGGGCCTGTGTAAGATGTCCATTATCCCGATATGGAGTAATTAATTGAGGAAGGCATGGATATGCAGCGTCTCCAAGAATTATGTTTTCGTCTAAAAAAATTACATTTGCTTAAGATAAACATCAAAAGTTAAATAAACATTCACGATAAAGTATATGTATATTAACTAAATTAAACAAGAATAGAGATATTCGACTAAAACAATAATACAATAATTGTTTATGATTATTATGTATTCATACTGTGACAGAGTACTGGTAAGTCTTCAGCCAGACTAGAATTTGCAAATACTCTTGCATCATGCACTGAGCCAGGATATCCAATTAACACATCTAAGAACTTGTTCTGCTCATTAACTGTTCCCTGCATGTGAATGGAAAAATAATGTTTTCTATTGATATAGGCTACTGGGTCTTCAGAAGGTTTGTCTATACGGATGTGTGAACCATCAATAGAACCTATAACAGGAAAGAAATATTAATTAAATTATATCATTACCCACACTAAATTACAAAAATGTAAGTTTAAATTAAGTACATCATCAGAAAAAATTACATTATTACCAATTATTCCTGGAAAATTTTTATTTTCTACATAGTATCTCTGCGCTTTCTGCTTTTCTGCCTCAGTGGGTTCATACCGAATAAATTCATTTCTTAAATCATGTAAAAACTGTGTGACTCTTTGTAACACTGATTCAAAGGCACTAAGAGAAATTAAATCTATCAGCAACATCCCTGAAACTTGTACTTTGATGCCCAGCAAACTATAGAAAAGTAAGAATGTGTTTTTCAGCCGAAACTACTTCAAATCTTCCATGTCCTATATAAAATATTAATTATACTTTATTTAAAATAAAATGAAAAACTTATCATATTAAATTTTTAATTTAAAAAACAGTACTTATCTCCTAGATTTCTAAAATGTGCCCAATAACTAAATCTGTCCACCATGCTTCTGAAAAGCATTCTTTTTAAACGATAATGCATAATAAATTCTTCATCGGTATACATTGGCACTATTTGTTCAATATAATTAGTTATGCATGTTCTACGTCTTCTTTGAATGATACCTTCAGCCATTTCAATAACTGCATTAATAGCAATATCTACAAATTACATAAAATCAAATAAAAATGCACTAACTATTTAAGGAAATGACGGTAATTATACAGAATAACCCCTCACCTCTAATTTTGACGAAAAAATATTTAATCGACGCGTTTTTGCAAGAGAAACAACTTTTCTATTTGAAAAAATCGTCGCTCTGTCTTGTGGAGCGAGATATAAATTGTTAAAGTTGATGACAATTTAGGTTAGGAAATCTGTCACGGAGGCGACAGATAAGATTCCGACAGAGATTTTTTCAAATAGAAAAGTTGTTTCTCTTGAAAAAATGTGTCGATTAAATATTTTTTCATCAAAATCGGAGGTGAGGGGAATATTCTATATAATTACCGAAAAGACAAATTAAAACTAATAATGTTCAGAGGTTATAGCAAATAAGGTTAGGATGTCACATCTTCATCAATACTCACTCTCTATTTCATCGTCGTTCCCATTGTCTTTCACAAATAAATCACGGATTACAGCTAAAGGTAAAAGATTTTCATTAATTTTATTCATAATTAATATATTAAAGCCAATGAGAAAATCTTCCAATGGATCCATGCTGCGAGTTTAATTTGCATGTTTGCATGCATCTTAAAAGAGGAGAAACTGCTCCAATCCGTTCGTGTCACTGAGCATTGGTGCACATGAACTCATCTGCTCCAACCACCATCTTATCCGTGATCCAAATGCTCCCTGGTGTACATTCGAGCATGCGACGCGAACAAACCTAATGTAAACAACATTCCTTGTGCGCTTATTTGGCGCACGCGCAGCAACGCACTTTTAGCACATACTTTTGGGGGACAGGAATGTAAAGTCAAAATATAAGAAGTTAGCAATCTAGTTGTTATATAGAAGTCTGTGTGTCTTACTATTATCTTCCTCTCACTCTATACGTTTTCCTACCCCCACCACCGACATCAGCGATCCATTTTATATATTAATGGTTTGCACGGAATTATGCATTTTTTGATGCGCTTCTGACAAAGTACATGTAAACTACGTTTATTACACACATTTCTCAATGGTAACGGTACAATCGTTTGGTTCGTGTCCAATCTACTTCCAAACTATGATAAAAAGGTAAAATAAAAAGAAACAATCACTCGCTTTGTCCTTGTCTCATCATTGATGAACAGTTACGCGACGGGATTATATATAATAAGCAAGATATTATATATAACAATCGCGAGATTAGTAATAACGATCTTATAACAAAGTATTCCCATCTCTGTCCTTTGTGGCATTCAACATGTGTTGTCACGCATTATCTTATCCGTGTAATCCGGAAAAATAATTTCCAGGCTTCAGACGATTTTTAGCAATTGTAAGATAAATATTAACAGTGCAGCGTTTACATATTGCCAAGGGGACGAAAGTTTGCGCAACAAAAAGCGAGATCTCATGTGGCAGGAGACACTGTGTTAATAAGGAAAGGTCGAAAAACAGAGAGTAGCACTTTCTATCGAGCCATCGGACGAATTAGTCGTAAAAACTGTCGTTAGTGCGAATTGTGTAATAGTGTGTAATCAAATTGTCTGCATTTGTAGATCAAATATATCTTGATTTGTTTTCCTGTTCTACAAAATGTAGTGATTACAATAGTCTAAGATGGGACTCGATCTAATATTAGAAGTTATTTTTCTTTTTCCATATATCAACTCATTTCGAACCTTCTTCTCTTTCCTTTTCTAGTTTTCCTTTGTATATCTCATTTTCCCTCGCTATCCTCTCTCCTTCTTTCATAATGATATAACAAAGCTAACAGCGTTCAATTTTTATAAATGTTACACTTGTTTATAAATATCTAGGTTGTCACAAATTACCGGAATTGATTAATTTTTTTAACGGGACATTTTAGGAAAAAATGTTTCAGACAAAAGTTATATGGTTTCAAAGGGGACATATAACAACTATATCATTTTGTTTACAAATAGCGCCATTTTCGAGATATTCACTAATCATTACTTTTCTTAAACGGAAACCCCAATTTTTTATTATATCATTTTTTTCTATCAATTAATTTAAATAACTTTTATCTGAAACATTTTTTAATTTGCTTAACATTTTTTTAGATATTTAAGGAAAACTTGGTAAGTTTTTCAGTATTTAACTTACGATATCGTTTACGATCACTAACTGTTTGTGAAGAAAAAGTGGTACTAGACTTTTTTACTCTATTTGATCTCAGAAATATATTGTTACAATAGCGCCTTAACTTTTGTTAGTTTGATGATTTAGAAATTTCCAAAAGTCGATAAGTTAACAAAAGTCAAGGAACTATTGTAATAATATATTCTTGAGACCAAATAGAATAAAAAAGTCTAGTACTATTTTTTCTTCCGACAAATAGTTAGCGAGATATAAATTAAATCCTGAAAAACTTACCAAATTTTTTTTAAATATCTCAAAAAATATTAGGCAAATAAAAAAATGTTTCAAACAAAAGCTGCTAAAATTAATTGATAGAAAAAGATGATATAATAAAAAATTAAGGTTTCTATTCAAGAAAAGTAATAATCAGTAAATATCTCGGAAATGTCGCCATCTGTAAACAAACTGATATAGTTGTTTTATGTCCCCCTTTAAACTATACAACTTTTGACTGAGACAGTTTTCGATTTAACTCAATATTTCCGAGATATTGAGTGGATTCTTTAAAATGAGACACTTTGTATACTATAATAATTGTATACTATAAATTATATTTTAATGAAAAGTCGAAATTTTGATATAAGAATATACAAATCACTTTCACATACATAAAGACTACATAAAGAATGATGTGGGAACCCATATATGTTATATATTGATTATATATTATTGTATTGACTGTAGAAGAAAAGTGTGTTGAGATGACTATAAATATGAAACTGGTTTGACCACTTTTATTCCCACTTATGATCAGTCATCTGCCAGCATCGCTCGAGCTGCAGTGCAATAAGTGATATCACAAGCAAAATGTATTATAACTTTACAAAAGGTAGATACACTTTCCCTCCTTTCTTTCTCCTTTCCGTAGCTACTTATTTGTTATGTTATTATTTTTTACAATATAATATTGTCCACAATAATCTTGCTACTATTTTAAATTCTATCTGTTTTATGTTATAGCTTCCCAGTTTCGAGTTACAACGAGGTGGAATATTCACCGAACTGTGGCTTCATTAAATGCTTTTGTAAAATCTGAATTAACAGCGATAACAAAAGCTGGTACTTGGAAAAACGAACACGTAATTGCGTCACCTCAACAAACAAAGATTACTTTATCGAATGGCAAGAAAGTTATTAATTTTTGTGCTAATAACTATTTGGGTTTAGCGGTAAGATAAAATTAGAAAAAGCAATAAGATCAATATTAACAATATTAACAATATTAATTGATATAAATCAATATTAACAATGTGATATAATGTTCCAGTTGTTACATTTATATAATCAATATACAGATCTACAAATCTACAAATTTTCCAATCATACTTTATATAGTTCAGCGGTTCTCAACATTTTGTTTCATGTATCCTCTCGAAGTATGCATGTTAATTGGTATATCCCCTTGATAAATAAAACTATACTTACAGTATAATAGGAATAAAATAATATATATATATATATGGTTGCGCTTGTTTACATTTGTACAGTTCATCAATGGTTAGGTTTATTTTGTTAAGATAGAGTTACAAATTATTTTCAACATTCAGCCTGTCCTTATATTCATTTTATAAAGCAGCTAAAAATGAAAAACTGTTCATACAAACGCGCTTCGTCACTTATTTTTGAAAAAATTAATCAATAGCAGTGTTATCAAGTTAACGATTTTTAAGATTTTATAATATATCCCTAAAAGTTTTGCCGCGTTTTTCCAATGGTATGTGTAGGCCAGGTCGAGAACAGCTGATATAGTGTGAAAAAAATTTGTTTTTATTATATCAAAATTTTACCTTCTCAAAAATTCAAGTAATGGTATATATATGTTAAATATATAATATATATAATATTATCATTTTTATAGCAGTTACAGAAAAATGGTAATAATAACCTAATCTGTTGATACCTAAATAGTAGAATGACGTTGAATAACGTGTTAATAACGTCCCAGTAAGCAAAATGTTAGCAGAATGCGCGCAGATTGACGCCAATTTCGATCAGATCCCCACGTCAAAACCATAGTCATCTGTGTCCTCATTAGGCTCGTGTTTTGTTGACAGGACCTGCGTGACAGGCCGTGCGAACAGATTGTCGGCAGAAACCGCGCAGGTCCTGCTGCCAAACTACGCGCAAAGTCTGCGCGCAAAGTTTGCTCGGTTTCTGCCGCCAATCTGCCGTCAACTTATTGCAAGTCTTACGCGGTTTTTGTTACAAATCTGTCGTCAAATATCCGACAGCAGGATCTGGTGCATATTTAACCGCAGATTGGTGGCATAATTTGATAGAACAGATTCTGCGTTAAATTTATTACTTATTTGCCATCAAATTATGATAGCAGGCTTTGCTTGAAATCTACTCGCACAGGTTTGGCTATTTAGGATATTAATGTCACATGATTAATGATGTTTAGAACATCAATTATACGTTGTTCATATAATGTTTTGACATAATTTTAATTAGATAAAAGTCTAATATTTGAATAAAGTTTTTTTTAACTTATATAATAACAAATAAACTTATCGACTAAGTCGCGTCATGTACAAAAACTAAAATTACAAAATTGTAATATAACTTATAACGTATTCGTTACATATATTTTTATTTTCAATTTATGTAGCAACAACTGAATGTGTCAACTAGATAATAAATTTAAAAAAGACTCAATAAACAATCTGTTAGTACCCAGTAAGCAAGGAACATGAAATTAATGTTTAGAAATATTGATTTTACGTAAATTTTTTAACATTTTTTGAATAATATTATATACACATTTAAAAACTATTATTTTGCAATATGGTTTTTCTATATGTTGTTAAAACATTTTATATAACATTATAGCAAATATTTTTTAAATATTATTTTAACATTTATTTGATGCAACAGTTAATGCAACAGTTAAAAAATATTTATAGTTTGATATTAGATTTGCAACATTATAACATTCTCATTTAAACATTACTGAAACTTCGAAATTATGACCAGAGTAAACACATTTATATAAAGTGAAGAATTGGTGTAGTGTTAAAGTGATAGACTTGTAATCCAGAACTCTTTCGGATATCGGAGTTCGGTCCTACCAGTACCAAGTGTGAATTTTTCAAATGTGATGTGACATGGTATCAATAAAATAAACTAAGTTTCAAGTACAACCAGAATAATAACTTTAAAAATCGTTTCTACTAGAAAAAGAGCAATAATTAGTTTTTAATTTTTGTACTGAGAAATTATCAAAATGTTAACAAAATTATTAGCGCAACATTATTTATAACAACTTTACATTTGGGAACTCAACATTACCGAAACCTCCAAATCGGGGTTAAAGTTTGTTCATTATGATATTGTATACAACGTTAGATACGACATATTTGAAACACTTGTTACTGAATATCGTTATAATAACGTTGTAATAATGATTTTTTGCTTACTGGGTAATCTGCCGACAGATTGGCGATAAATTCCATTAGGATCTCTTGACAGATTCATAGACATCTGTGTCTGCATTCGGCTCATATCTTATCGATAGAGCTTGCTGATAGCGTTTGATAGCGGATTGATGGCAAAAAGAGAGGAAGATCTGCAGTATATTTAAATACAGTTTATTTAAATACAACAGCAGATTCTGCGCATTTTTTGCTGTCAGTCAGTTATCATACTATATTATCGGATTTTGTTGTACTTTTGCTAGTAAGTTACTGACAAAATCTATGACAGATATTGTGCAAAAATTACTTTTCGATTTGGTTATTTGGGGATGAGATGTTATAAAAAAAGTATAATAAGCTAAATTTTAAATTAAATTGACAAAAGTAAAAAATATAGAAGAAAATTATTTTTTATTAAATATTCTATTAATAATAAATGCTCTGATAATTATAACTTTGGCAATGATCTTGATGTCTCAATTACTTCGTTATTTTCGAGAAAAAATATCATATAATTATATATAATTATACAGGGTGTTCCAAAATGGTTGGGACCCTTAAAAATCTTGAAAGATATAAATTTGACAAAAAACTGTTTCAAACAAAAGTTATAGGGCTCAAAACGATATATTTACTGATCTTATCAGTTTGACCTTGAGCAGCGTTGCCAAGATCAAGTCAAGGTCAATCTAATTTTTTAAAATAAACCCCTATTTTTTATTATATGATATTTTCTACTAATTAATTTTAATAACTTTTGTTTGAAACATTTTTTTATTTGCCCAATACTTTTTGAGATATTTAAGAAAAACTTGGTAACTTTCTTAATATTTAATTTATATCTCGCTATTTGTCAGAAAAAAAATATTACTAGATTTCTTTACTATATTTGATCTCAAGAATATATTGTTACAACATCCCTGATAACAGCCTTGACTTCTGTTAATTTGATGATTTTGAAATTTCCAAAGATCGATAAGTAAACAAAAAGTAGAGCATTATTGTAACAATATATTTTTGAGACGAAATAGAATAAAAAAGTTAATTTTTTCTTCCGGCAAATAGTTAGCGGGATATCATAAGTTAAAAGTTGCCAAATTTTCCTTGAATATCTTAAAAATATTAGGTAAATAAAAAAATGTTTTGGACAAAAGTTGCTAAAACTAATTGGTAGAAAAAGATGGTATAATAGAAAATGGAAGTTTTTATTGAAAAAAATTAAGTTGACCTTGACCTAACCTTGGCAACATAACTCAAAGTCAAACTGATAAGATCAGTAAGTACACTGTTTTGAACCCTATAACTTTTATTTGAAATACTTTTCTATAAAACTTATATCTTTCGAGATTTTTAAAGGTCCCGAACTTTTTGGGATACGCTGTATATAATTATATATAGAGTGTACGAAAAGTATCGAAACCCCTTCCCTCTCGGAAAATACGCATTTTAGGAAAAAATTTTTCATACAAGTTAGTGTTACGTCCTGGAGGAGGAGCGCAACTTGGCGCTTGCTTTCGCAAGCTCCGACGTACTCGCAAGTCAGCGGTACAGATCAAGGATCGGAGCGATCCCTTTATCTGACGCGGACGTACGCCGGTGGTCCTTGATTTAGGTCAAGGAACTGAATCCTTTTACCTGGGATAGGGTCGTGAGCGACGGTTGAAGGAAGGGAGAATCTTTGTTGAGAATAATTAGTCGGTAATCGTGATTGGCTTACAATTACAAATAACTTGTTTTATTAGTAATTAGAAGGATGTTCACAATGAAATAAAATTTACATACTTTTATAAAATGTACGTATACATAGATGTATAAACAATCGCGGTCTGAGCAAAATTCCGTGTTCGTTATGTCCGACTGTGATCGAAAGGTTTGGCCACTGGGGTCTGATTTAACAATTAAGGAGGAATGCCAAGGGGGATAGAAAACGGAAGTAAAACGAAAGGAAAAGAAAAGAGAGAGAAGAATAGATAAAAAAATGAAACGAAAGAGGTCACTCAGGTAAAATAAAATATAAATAACTTACTGCTGGACTTCTCTGATCTTAGTAGACAATGAAAGGTGTGGTTGCTGAGTCTCTGTGAGAATAGATGCCTCAAGTTCTGCGCCAAGGATAGGCAGCTGGTTTCGGCAGAATCGCTCTCAATGGCCCAAGAAGGCACAAGATCGTTGCACCGAATAATTAACAAGTGAAGAATACTGGTTGGTCTAAGCCACAAGTTGGCTTGATTGTTAAGAAAACCCTGAAGGGGTGCTGGAGAGAAGCGTCTGTCCTGGGTGCTGGATCGGCGAGAAGTGAGTGAGGCTTTTGACTTTTCTCAAAAAGTCAGCCCGGTTGAGAGAGTGGGGCTTTTAGGGGAATGTTCCAGATGATTATTTTATAGGAGATAAGATGCATGTGGCAATAAGAGGATTTCGAAAGACTTTTGTAAATAAAAAAAATCGTGGCAGCTATCTTAAGAAGTAAATATCGATATTTATAAGAACGATGTCATGATGCTGATATCAGTGATTAAGTTCGTAGGAAATCAAATAGGGATTAGGTTAAGATTATTAGTATTTTCGGGGTATCAAAATTTCCAGAAGTTGTTCGTGTGATAACTTGTGAGGTAGGTCGTGTGGTAACGTGCCTGAGCGCATTTAGACGTGTAATCAGTAAAAATAAATTCGATAACTCTTATTTATATAAGAGTTTTGAGGTTCGCTGAGTCAGCATGACGTAACATTAGTAAAGTTTTATAAGGCACATTACA